ATAAACTAATTAAGTTGTCAAGAAGAAGAGTGTCAAATGGAAGCTATGGAAAAATACACTTTACCATAGTGGTGGGTAAAGATGCAACACAAACACCTTCATGCTTGAGTGTGCGCTCATCTACCCCAGTCCCCAGATGCCACAACCTATGAGGAAAACATATTTCTATTCTTCAAATGTTTGTACATGCTATGGTTGTTGTGAATCATTTATATTCTAGCAATTCACACGACTAAGTTGAGTTGAGTAGAGTATCCGCCAAGAAAAAAATTACCTTTTGTAGCTCCATCAAATTAAAATAACTAGAAATTACAATTATTACAATTGCCTATTTGGAATTATAATCTTTCCTTAGCACAAGTACAGTTGCGTTTAGGTCCTCTACAGTGGGGGGGATATAATGTGTGAAAGGTAGTTATTTTCCAATAAATAAAAATATCAAAAGAGAACCCAGCTCAAGATGCAGAACTTTAAACATACAAATTAGGTTATGAGCATATGTTAAAAGCATACAAATAATGCTGACATTGAAATAGAAACTCACTTCTCTATTTCTTATAGAAGGGATCCATTTGTTACAGAATCATCTTTGCAACAAATTGAAGGATTGATTATAAATTCCAACAAATAACTTGGGAGAAAAAATATCAGTTTTAGTAGGGGAAGGGGGTTGATCTACATCAGATCATTATCAAAAATAAAAATACCTTATTTATCTATCGTCCAACAACTTTAGCTAGAGTTCCAATAGCATCATATAAAAATCTGAGATTTCTGGAACAAGAAACTACAATCAGAGATGTCTAGACATAGTTGTGATTGATTTGGGAAATGATACACAAGGTAATGACAAGTTAACAATTAAGCATTAGCACTCATCTAGATATGGCAAATTCTATAAGAAACATCTATAAAATTTTGTACTGTCATTGTAATTAAATGCTAGAGGTCATAAATGACCTGATATTTCCCAAAGGCAGTTATATGCTTTAATATAATTTCCAAGTGCAAAGCCAACTCTTTTACAGCGTCCTATCATGCATAAACTTTTAAAACCTGTATATACAATTTTTTTTTGAAAAAAATAAAGATATCAAAGCAAAAATCTCTTCTCGTGTTGCAAAAACACCCCTCCTACCCACACTAGTCCATTTGTTACAAATGAAACCCGCTCCCACAAGTAATAAGCTAGCTACACCAATCTTAAAGTTAAGGCTCATTGCTCTATTAAGTGGATTCTTGCATTAAATTAACTCAATATCATTATCCCTTTATATTGGCCAAGTTTCTCTATTGTGGTGGAAGGGTTTCAATGCCTTCCAAATTCATTATCGAATTGATTGTGGCTACATCAATGAGTCTATCTAGCAAGAACTACCAATACAAATAGTTAAATTAACCATAGAATAAACAAACTTGAGTCCACAACATGTATCCAACCTACAACTTTATATACAAAAGGCATTATAAATTCATTGAAATATGGAAATATGGTCCAATAATATTTCTCAAATAATCTAGAATTCCATATCCTAATAAATAGTAATTGAGTTTTAGCATGAGTCCACAAATTAGAAATTGATATGTTTTTGCTAGTCAAGTATTGAAGACAAACTAAAAAGAGAGAGAGAGAGAGAGAGAAGTGACATACTTGTGAGGAGCAGAGTAGACATTAGTCGAAGTCTCAAAGACAAAAGGGAGTGAGCTATATAGATCTGAAATTGATTCAGAGTTCAAACTACCAAGGGAGAAGAGAGGCAGGGACAATGGAGGTAGTTGAACTTGGGGGAGGACAAAGCTTAGTTGCTTAATAAGAGGCACTCTCATTACTCGCACTCATAAAGTCATGAGTGTGAGGTGAGATTCAAGAAGCCGAGAAGGAGGAGGCAAAGCTTGATGGATGACAATAGCACTCCTAAGGACATGAACACGAGGTGAAATTTGAGAAGATGAGAATGAGAAGGCTGGCTTCTAATCTATATTAGACATCAATGGAAGACAGCGATGCTGGCAAGGTCATGAATGTGAGGCAAGAGAGAATAAGGAGGCGGGTGGACTTAGGCAATAGGCAAGGGTGTTTTGAGTTGACACTTGATATTGGGTTAGAGTTTGTATGGAAAAAATAAAATTAGAGGGAGTGGGATGGGTCAATGAAATTATGGAGGGAATATAATTTTTTAGAAAATATTTTTATATAAAAAACATTATGAAGTAAAAACAATTATTTACATATAAGACATTATAATATTTTTAAGAAAATTATATACAACATGATATAAATTTTTAGTAAATATTTTTTATACACGAGACAATATAAAATAATAGATTTTTTTGATAAAATAGGTACTTAAAAATAAATAAATACAGGTTAAAACCTTTCTGATTCTTATTCTCATTATTTATTTTACTATTAACTTTTTAGAGAGGAATAACCATTCCTCTCCAATTCCTCGCTAATCAGAAAAGATCATATCATCTCACTAATTTCCTTGTTATTTAGATCATTTAGAGATGATTATATTATTTCTCACTATTTTTTTCGCTAATTAAACAAATTAGAGAGGAATATATTATTTCTCATTAAATTACCTCACTAAATTTTTTTATAGAGATGAAACAATATTTCCTCACAAAATTCCTCACTAATGCAGAGAGAGGAATAATTAAGTCCTCTCTAACTTGACTTTTTCTAGTAGTGATTGCTGCTTTCTTAATGAAAATTGTTAACTAATGTAAAACTTGAATAAAAAAATGATGAATATGATGAATTGATGATTAAACAATATGATTAACAATACAGCTTTAGCTTGGAAAAAAAATCATGAATTCCAAAAACATTTTGGGATAAGAAGGACCTTTGTTAACCTCCTTAGAGATGGGATGAAACCTCCTACACAACTTAACAATATAGTGCTCTTTATATAAACTTTTAAGGTCACCAACAAACTCAGTAATTAACTCTAATAACTTATAACATTCCTTTATAATATTTCAACAAAAATATCTATATTAAAGTTTGGAAGGGAAATTTATGCTGTGGCAAAAAGAAAGCGAGATGATACTTATTATTAACTGCAAATTTTCCTGCACGTGCATTTCTCATCTCAGTGACTAGTTATTTCACATGTATTTTACTTATCACTATAGTATTCTTCGTAGTGTAATCATTATTATTATCTGCGAAACCATCAATACCAAAATTGACATCATTATTCCTCTTTGACTCCTGTTAAGACCAGATCAAGATTCGGTGCAGCATGAACTAAAACTACATACGGATACGAAAGATTCCAAAATGAATTAAATAGAATCCGAAAATCCAAAATAGACACAGGTGGTCCAAATTTTTTTTAAAAAAAGAAAAATATACCATTTCTAATTGACATTGTAGATAAAAAATAACAAGTGAGCAAGTTGGAGACTGTGCGATTCAATTTGTCTTCATTATTTTCATACTAATATAAGAGTTTTGTTTGTTCGTTGTATAAAAATAATGAATGTGAAAGCATGAGCATATTCCCATGTTGTCATCAATGTTTGATACCATATCCATCTAATAAGCCTGTATGTTGTACCAATTAGGAGCATTTTAAAATTTCACTCGCCAATATTAGAACCAAATGAAGCAACACTGGTCCTTCACTCGTCTTATCCATACACACGCAACTTTTAGAAACATGACCTCATTTTTAGTCGTCCTTCTGAAACCTATTAAGCTTCCCCAGGTTTTGGATTATATATTTTTGTTTTTGGTGTCCTACGAGCTTTTGGGTCTGACCTGTCGCTTCTCTTGTTGGTTTATTTGGGCCAAAATCTCACGTGTTCAGAGAAAGTTGTTGTGTTCGTGTGTGAAGCCCAAATTCAATGCCCGGAAGTAAGCCTATGTTTAATTGTATTTTGGCCCAATTTGAAGGTTGCACTTTGAAGGCCTAAACTTGTCATTGACATCGACAAATCGATTGCCCAAACGTAGGTTCGGGCCTATCTGATTTGACTTGCATTAAAAAAAAAAAGACAACAGTTTTGGAATTTTTTTTTCTCAAGGTATCTCTGCAGTCGAGAGTCATGAGATTAATTTTTTAAAAAATTTGGGTACCGTTTAAGAGATTATCCTTTCCATACAAACTTTTAAAATTTGAACCTTAAAATAACATTCAAGGAGTTCAAACCGTTACCGTATGTACTACATTCACTTGGCATGGTTTTGGATTGTTAGTCAAAAAGGAAGACATCATTGTTTTGGATCTTTTTAAAAAAATAATGGCTGTGGATTTGGTAAAATATAAAATAAACAGGCGTGATATAAAATCTGATAGATAATCAAACATGCTCTCTCCCATCTCACTTGCAAGGCATGAGAAAGAAGATAGGGATGGTTTAACATAAAAGTAATCTATCCAAATATCAGATCTTGGAGCATTAATTTTTTTTTTCTTTCAATAAAACCTTCAATAAATATTCTCCTATTACTATTTATGAGGGAATTTTTGAACAAAATAGTATTAACTATCCACTAACTTGGGATAAATTTAATGATTTTAACTGCATTAATTGTTTTTCTAATGAATATTAATGGGAATCAAAACTAGGATACGTATCATGTACACGAATTCTTCGTTTCTGGGGAAAGAAGCAATTCATCCACTGGTCTTGCTGAAAGCCTGAATCTTCATTTAATTATCGCAACGGCATGATTTTTTTGGACTGTTGGCCTAAAAGAAAAATGTAATTTGGGAAAAAAAACTAGTCACGGCATAAAGCTGGCCTTACATGCATCAAGTCAAACCTGGCATTTTTTTTACCAAGCTGGTGAAAAAAGGTGAGAAACTGAATATATGCACAAAAATTCAGAAGCATAAAGGGGAGGATAAATGTTGCAGGGTTGGATTAATCTTTCAATTAGGTACGGTGGATGCATGCATCGCATAAATTTATACACGAATCACTTCCTGGCCACCAAAAACATTTGAAGAAAATTAAAGAAGTGCAGATTAGTTTTTTCCTAAGCTACACTGCTACGGCATCATATCTCATTCATATACACCAACCATACATAAGGACTCGGACTCTCCGAGTGGATCTCATAAAGTTGGTTTCTTGATTCTTCCCATTTACCTCACTATTTGATTCGCCTTGAAATGCTTTGGCATCCATCCAATCCAACTTCAAATGCAAATCTAAAGTCAGAAGAAGGTAAGAAAGTGACACTCCTCACACTTACTGTTACAGCCTCAGTCTCCGATGTCCCGTCCTCGGACTTTCCTTTTCCTCTTCTTCCTCTTCCTGTTTTTCTGGTCAACTTTCTTCCACCTCCCGCCATTCCTGGGATTGCACGCTCTCGCTTCTAAAGCCGTCACGCTCTCCTCAAACCAGCTTCCCGATTTCCCCTGTAAACAACCCTATCAAACTCCCTTCCCTTTCTGCGACACTTCCCTTCCTACTTCAACCCGAGCTCGCTCCCTCGTCTCCCTCCTTACTCTCCCTGAAAAAATTAGTCTGCTCTCCAACAACGCTTCTGGCATTCCCCGACTCGGTATTCCCCCTTACCAGTGGTGGTCCGAATCGCTTCACGGGATTGCCTCCAATGGTCCCGGCGTCTCCTTCAACGGCACTATTCCCTCAGCTACGAGCTTCCCGCAAATCATTGTTCAAGCAGCCTCTTTCAATAGGACCCTCTGGTCTTCCATCGCATCAGCTATTGCGATCGAAGCTAGAGCTATGTACAATGTTGGTCAGGCTGGCTTGACTTTCTGGGCGCCGAATATTAACATTTTCAGAGACCCTAGATGGGGGAGAGGACAGGAAACACCTGGAGAGGACCCGATGCTGACTTCGGCTTTTGCGATTGAGTACGTGAGGGGCCTTCAAGTTGGGAATTGGGAGACAAGAGGGGGGATTAGAAATGGATTTGGAGTGCAAAGGGTGATGAGTGAGAATGGTGGGAGTCATGATAAACTTATGGTGTCTGCTTGCTGCAAGCATTATACTGCTTATGACTTGGAAAATGTGGCATGATTTGCTAGGTACAATTTCAATGCTGTGGTAAGATTAACCAAATCTAATTCTCATATTACAATGTTAGCCAAAAGGGTCATGATTGATGTGATGATCTCAACCCTTCTATTGTAGGTTTCGCAGCAAGATTTGGAGGACACTTATCAACCCCCATTTCGTAGTTGTATCCAAAAAGGGAAAGCAAGCTGCTTAATGTGTTCCTACAATGCGGTTAATGGTGTTCCTGCTTGTGCTAGTGAGGATCTCTTAAGAATAGTTAGAAAGGACTGGGGCTTTGAGGGGTAAAAAATGAAAGGAACTCTGACTAACATGATTAAAGAAATGAACTAATTGCTTATCAGGCTGGGGAAAATGACTCTATTTCCTTGGTGGTTTTGGGTTTAGATATATCACTTCAGACTGTGATGCTGTGGCTACGGTTTTTGAATACCAGAATTACACAAAATCCGCGGAAGATGCGGTTGCTGATGTTCTCAGAGCAGGTGCTTTTGTATTTTATTATTTTTATTTTTATTTTTATTTTGCTCTTACTGATATCATCGTAAAGACCTTACATGTGTTGGAAAGTTTCCGATGATTTGCAATTCTTAACTTGATTTTTAGGCGTTGATATCAATTGTGGGACATATATGGTTCGAAAAACTGGATCAGCTATCAAACAAGGAAAGGTGAAAGAAAAAGAGATAGACAGAGCCCTTTTCAACCTTTTTTCTGTTCAATTGCGTCTTGGACTGTTTGATGGAGATCCCAGAAGGGGCCTGTTAGGGAGCCTTGGTCCACTGGATGTTTGTACCCCAGAACACAAAACACTGGCGCTTGAAGCAGTAAGGCAGGGGATTGTACTTCTGAAGAATGATAAGAAATTCCTTCCTTTAAATAAGAATGTTGTTGAAACCATGGCAGTTATTGGGCCAATGGCCTCTACAAACGAGCTAGGTGGTACCTACTCAGGTATTAGAAGAATGGTATTTTTTCCCCTCATCTTCCATTGTTTCCCTTACATTTCAGCTTCACTGCTCAATTGTAACTGGCGATTCCTTTTCAGGCCAAAAAAAGAAAAAAAAAAAAAACAGGCTATTCCTTTTAGTGACTCCCATGGAATTTAAATATGAGACAATCAAATTTGTGAACCTATTGTTAAGCGTGAAGGGTTGAACTGTGTGATACCTAGCATTCTTCATGGTATTATAGTGGAGGTATTTGAACAATAGGAAGTGCGTCAGGAAAACCAACTGTTCATATGTGCTAGTTCATTATAGAAGTACCTAGGGAGCATTTGTCCATCTCTTAGCTAATAGGCTTTTGGTTGAGTGGCTACTCTCACTGATGAGATCTCGCAATCCCAATCACATATGGCCACATTTTGGAAACCATCTTAATTTAAAACCATTGATTTTGTCTCATTTTTTCCCGAAAGACCCTGCTGAAATATTTATGGCGTGCTTAATTATGTAGGAACACCCTGCAGTTCAAAAACCTTATATGAGGAGTCCAAACAGTATGTAAAGAAGATATCATATGCTCCTGGTTGCATTGATGTATCATGCCTTTCTGAGGCTGCTTTTGATGATGCTATTCGTGTGGCTAAAGAAGCTGATTATGTTGTTATAATTGCTGGGATCGATACAACACAGGAGGCAGAGGATCTTGACCGAGTTAGTCTTCTCTTACCTGGGAAACAGATGTCTCTTGTATCTTCTATCGCTGCTGCTAGTAAATGTCCTGTGATTCTAGTACTTACTGGTGGAGGACCCCTTGATGTTACCTTTGCTGAAGCAAATCCTCAAATTGCAAGTATTCTCTGGGTTGGATATCCTGGTGAAGCTGGGAGCAAAGCGCTGGCAGAAATTATCTTTGGAGAGGCCAATCCAGGTTTGAGGATTTTAAAATTAATATGGTGTTCTACAATTAAAAATATGACTGCTTTAAACTTGTTTCTAAACTGCAAGTGAAAAAAAAATGCTGAATTAAAAACCTTGCGAGACCCATTTTGAACTAAGAAGTCTGTCTTCATACAGCTGGAAGGCTTCCAACGACTTGGTACCCTGAGTCATTCACCAAGGTTCCCATGACTGACATGCGGATGCGTGCTGATCCCACTCGTGATTATCCGGGAAGGACCTACCGATTTTATACCGGAAGTAGAATATATGGATTTGGACATGGCTTAAGTTATAGTACTTTCTCATACAAGTTCTTATCAGCACCGAGTAAGATCGGTTTGTCAGGAACCTTCAAGGATGGTTCCATAAAGGGTACATTAAGACAAGAAGGGAAACAAGTTTATTCAGTTGATGACATTCCTGCTGATGAGATGCAAGATTGTATCTCATTGAGATTCTCGGTGCAAGTTTCTGTGATGAACCTTGGAGAGCTGGATGGAAGTCATGTTGTGATGTTGTTTTCTAGAGGGCCAGAAGGTTTAAAAGGCTCACCAGAAACACAGCTTATTGGATTCGATCGTCTGCATACTGTTCCTTCCAGGTCTACTGAAACTAGCTTTTTGGTGGATCCTTGTGAGCACTTTAGCGTTGTGGATGAGCATGGAGAAAGGATGCTCCCCTTGGGTAATCACATTTTAAGGCTAGGGGATATTGATCACATTGTTTCAATTGAAATTGATTGATGGCATGTAATATGCCTCGATCCAATTGTCTAAATTCATTGATCAGAATAATTTGTTTGCGTGCTGTTTTTGAATCAAAACACTGGAATTCATTCAAAGCAAAGAAAGGAACAGTACAAGGCCTAGTATAAAACTAGAAGGAACAAAACTCAAACATTAGTCACCTCTTAATGTAACACTAGGTGGTGCATAATCAAAGATACAAAAGGCGCTATCCACAAAATGAGCTTCCCTAGTAAGAGAATGAGCATGACTAATAATGTTCTTAAAAACAAAATTAATAGAAATAGTCAAGTCTCTAAAAAAGGTTATAGGTTTTTTGAATGATATCATGGTAAAGGTGTTCTTTTGGATGACCTCCAGTGATGAGATTAATAGCTTCAATGCTGTTAGAGTAGACTTCTATGTTTGTAAAGCCTTTAACCTAGCAAAGTTCAAGGCCTTCATAAATTTTCAAGAATTTAACAATGGTGGATGGATAATTTTCAAATTTATCGTTAAAGCCTACCAACCATTCTCCCTTATCATCAATAATGCAATCTCTACAAGTAGCAACTCCACTGGGAGAAGATCCATCAATATCAAGCCGATGGCACCATTAGAGGGGGCATGCCAGGTTCTTGTACATTGTGATCTCGAGTGAAAAGTGTGGAGTTTTCCCAGCCATCTAGAATCAGCCATAGCTTTTGCAAGGCATTTGTTAGGATCTTGTTGAATAAAATGATCTTGTGTATAAAAAAGATTCTTACATCATGTACACCAAAGGTCCCAGCACATGTATGAAAAAATTGTTGTCCAAGGTAGACTTGAATTAGAACTACGTCTTGATAGGTTGGAAGAATTCCACTTGATCAACTCTAAACAGTCTAATTTTGTGAAGTCAGACCAATTTTTGGGTTTGACTAACTACTGCCATGCCTCTTGAGCAAACCTGCAGTCACGAACAATATACATGGCATTCTCCTTGGTACTGCATCAAAAAGGGCATTCGTGTGAATCAGCTACTTCCTTTTTGACCCTCAAGCTTGTTGTGTGAAGCCTATTTTTTCCCAAGAGCCAAAGGAAAGCTTTGATCTTTTCTCGTATGTTCCATTTCCATAGTTTCGTCTAGATTTGGTCTTTACTTGGTGATGTACCTGCAGAAAGAAAATCATAGGCAAAAGAACAAAGCTTAAGGATGAAAGCTTGATTTTGATGTGTAAGGTCCTTCACCCCTAAACCACCTTCTCTTTTATGTTTCACAATTTCCCAAGACACAAGGTGCATTTTCCTTTTGTCATCACAGTCACCCCACATGAAGTTTATTACTAGCTTTCTCAATATCAATCAACAGCTCTATAGGGAGGAGCATGGTTTGCACATAATTAGGTAGAGCTGTCAACATCAATTTGATAAGGACAGACTTGCCCGCAAAAGTTAGAAGTTTACCTTTCCAGCTTGACAACTTCTTCTGGACCCTTACCAAGATAAGCTTGAAATGATTATACGAGGCTCTCTTGTGCAAGCCAAGGTATTTCCCGACATCATTAGTAAGCCCAATGCCTATAATCTGACTCAGATTCATTGCTCTGGAGAAGTGAACTGCCTTGGAGACACACATGCGAGTTTTACTTTTATTCACTAAGTGGCCTGAGGCTTTACAAAACTTTTCAAGGCAGGCATTGATGACTTCCATTTGGTCCACTGTTTGCGTGCTGTTTCTCACAGTTGTAGATGAATAAGAAAAGATACGACCTTGTAGTTGTATATATATGTGCGAGCATGCATGAGTGTGCATAAAATTTTCAGCAGAAGAAAGCTAAACATGAACTAGATAACAAAGATTTACTGAAATAAGTTATTTTTCTGCCTTGAGTAGTGAGAATCTAAACTGAAAGCCCATGCTTCTCAAGGTCAACACTCTAATGCATGGATGACCTCGTGACTCAAAACTAGAACCTCATTCTGCGGCAATACTGAGTTTGTGATGGTGATGGATTTGGTCCTTGGATAATAATCACGCAGTTACTAATGAATTACTTGTTTATGTATAGCTATTGAAGGGGCAAATTGAAGAATCAAGATAGGCAAGTCTGGAAGCAATTAGTTCTGACAACTTTATTCTTGGTTAGTTCTGTGAATCATATACCTTCAATGCTGATGACGATCCTGTTATTATAGTACCGAACTGCAGGGTTGGTATATTGCGATATCTAACATCATATCTAAAATAAGCAGTAGATATAAATTTTAGACATAAATGTTAGATTCCCCTTTCAAACATGCTCTTCAAATAAAAAAAAGGGAGAAACGATGATGCCACTCAGTTCAGGCTATAAATTTTTAGCCTCCACATTTATTGCGCCATCCGTTTCAGTCTGTCCGAGTGATTTGTGGCATTTGGATCAAGCACCTCACAATGCTTCTGCTTTGTCTTTGACAAGGACAAAGAATATGTTTCTATGAGACAATGAAGGTATAAGGTAGATTCTTTTTAACTAGATTTTTTTATATATGAGAGTTGATAATCACACTTTCAACTACTGGCTTGAGAGACAAGAATCTTTACAATTTACACAAACAAAATGTTTTTGTTATGATTTTTAAATGGATATATATTTGTTCATTTTAGTCATTTTTATATTCATTTTCATTATGTTTGAGCTTCACGGGACAGAGTATGACGCAGATTGGCTATTGGAAATTCTCAGGGCACTTTGTATTGTTGGTGAAGAGGAAGGCCACCAAAGTATAATGTGAAATCTATTGTTGGTTTGGTTTAATTGTATATGTTTCAAGTAAATATTTTTCCAAATGAAGCAAAGTGATAAAGACGGAGGCTTGAAATTTTGATTAATTAATGGCGTTCCTAGCACGAATGCAGTCAAATTGGAATCTGCTTCGTCCCACTGTGTAAACGGAGAATTGTTTACTTAAAAAGGAAAATTGTGAGACTTGTAGATTCGCCCCACTTTCTTTTTTTATTTTTTATTTTTTTTTAGCTCTGAAATAGTGAAAGCCACATTTACAGCAAAGCCTTAGACTTTTCATGGGAATTTTGCCAGAACAAAAGAGACCTTTAGCCACGTCCCATTCACGAGGTAAATTATACACTTTTTCAATACAACGTTTTAAAAGTCTCACTCACCATATATTTTATATTAATATCCTAAGAATATTAACGCATTTAAAACTTATGAAAATATAAAGTTTTTATAGATTTCATATTATATATAGATCATATTAACCATGTTCACATTATTGTTAAATAAATTTAATTGATTAAACTGCAATTCGCGAATGAATTTGAAATTTAAAGTTAAATCACTATCAATAGCCGCGCCCTGAATACCCGGCCAGAATGAAAGTCTTCACCGTTGCCTGGAAAAAAACAAAACAAGACCCTGCTTTAGCTTCTTCAGAAATTTTCTTTTTCTTTTTTAATACAAGAAGAAAAATAAGAGCAACTAACTAAAAAGGTAAAGAATTCTTCAGAAATTTTCTAATTCTGAAAAATTAGGATTAAGAATCTTTATTAATTTTCATAAACAATTCTTATTTTGTGAAACAAAAAAGTTATTAATAAAAATAAATGTAGAAAAAATACACTCACCTATACTATAAAGTATTTTTAATATGTTTTACCGAAATTAAAAAAAATTTAAAATTTATTAATTCTATAAAAATATTTAATAATTTTAATTTTTTATTTTTATTAAAAATATATATATTTTAATAACATTTTTTTTAATATTAAAAAATTAAATAAAAAAATTTGCAATGAAAGTTTAAGTCTAGGGGAGTATGCTGATAATTTGAATATTTGATATCCGAAACAGATTTGACCTGGGGCACTTCATTTTTTCTTACTGCCAGTAGTTGCTGACATCTGTCAAGCACTGGTTAGCTTTAATATCTTAGCTTCATTCACACAGTGTCGAGAAAAGCAAATCACTTCAAAAAGGGAAAAAAAAAAACAATTCCTTCCCAAATTGCGAAATAAATGCTGCTACGCAGTAGTAAGGGAATGTACCGAAGCAGAGGCATCCAATTATAGTTCACAAAAACTTGCCGTTTCATTGCACACTACCTGTGATTTCAGGGTCACAATCTCTGTTCGTTGTGCTCTGTTTGGTAGAAATGAACGACCCCAAGTATGCTTATCCTTACCCTCCACCACCACCAACACAAGGTATACATTCCCTTCTCTCGCTTTCTTTCTTGTTTCTAAGCCTCCTTTTGGAAGAGACTTTTCAATCTTCGTCTCTAGGCTGATTCAGTGACTGTGTGCCTAGGGTATTATCAAGGTCCTCCTGTGATGGCGCCTCCTCAGTATGCTTATGCTCCTCCACCACCACCCAGAAGAGAGCCTGGTTTTCTTGAGGGATGGTAAGCTCTCAATTTTCCTGCACAATATACATTCATTTGTATGCTTTTCTTCTCTCTCTCTCTCTCTCTCTCTCTCTCTCTCTCTCTCTCCCCTCCCTCCAATATTAATGTTACTTTTATTTTTTTTCTCTGTACTCGTTATGTTTTGTCTCAGTCTTGCAGCTTTGTGTTGCTGTTGCTTACTAGATGAGTGCTGCTGTGACCCTTCCATCGTCATTGTCAGCTGATAATAATGTGAAGCTGAACTGTTATAACTTTTAATTAGGTTGGAGGTTGTTTAAGTTTGATAAGCCTACGAAATCCTGATCTAGATCTGGGTAATGTGGGTGTGGTTCTGATTCTCTCAAACTTTCTTCAGTATTTTGATTTACATTTTGGAATGTGGGAGACAGTTTTACTCTTTGAGCGGATCTCTTTGTTCTCCAGCCATCTTTTTTTGTGCTTTCACTGAGTAGATCAAAGGATTTTCTTATGGGTTTTGCTTCAGTTTGCCAATTGCCAATCTTTAGATGCCCTTTTGATTCTTGAAGAAGAACATTTCTTTCAACTTCTTACCATATGAATACAGGAAATATTGAATTCAAGTTTTCTTGCAAAATACCAGTTGTGGGACACCAACCCTCCTTTTATGCAGTTTTTTTTCTCATTAATTTCTGTGTGGGTGGATGAAATCATGTAAAATACTCACACATTGCACTGTGAATGCATAAGGTCGAGAATATAGCAAAATGTTTCAAGCTGGAGGGATTTACTAAAATACTTTTTCATTACATTTTTTATTCATGATAGCCATCTTGTCAGCTGCAATTGCAAATTACATCAAAACACACCAATCGCATCACATCATACCATACCAATGTCATCTGTCCACAATGACATCACGATATTCGCAGCTTCGTGTTTTGAGAATGCATCTTACAACATTACATATTTTGAGTAACACTGATGCGTCACTGACTACCATCCCGTTATTCCTTATGCTATACAATATACTAACATGTACGGCATCGATAACCTTACTGATATATGTTCTGGTTCATTCAGAAATACATACTCCCTCCGGTCCTATTTATAAGTCATTTCTACCAACCTCATCAATACCAATACAATAAAAGTACAAGGAATAAAAGTAAGTAAAATTCCAAACATGTCCCTATATAACAAATCTAAAAAGTAATGTCCTGTTACTTTTTCTCTCTCATGAAGGGTAATTTTGAAAATACTCTTAAATATTACCTAAAAAGACGCACCGTGACTTATAAATGAAACCAAATATACCTTCTAAAATTGGACTTATAAATGGGACCGGAGGGAGTAATCTTTATATATCAGGCAGCTACTGCTTCATTCACAAGGTTTGGCTTCTCGTTCTGTTCATCAATGCCACATTTACCGTCCAAAAGCACGCCACAGCCTCCGCATCCTCCACCACACTCACTACTCTTCTTGATGCTTTCAGTTCCACAGCCTGCCCCACAACCGCCAGCACCACAACTACCACATCCCCCACTTTTCTCCATGACTCCACAGCTGGCCCCGCCATTGCCAGCTGCACAGCCACCACTCCTTACCATTGTTCCACAGCCTCCACCACAACCACCAGCTGCACAGCCACCACTCTTTACCATCGTTCCACGGCCTCCTCCACAACTACTGGCTGCACAGCCATCACAACCATCGCCACACTCTCCACCGGGCAATTCAGTGTCATCTGTTGTCCCCTTGTCTTCATTAGTGACATTGCAGCTCATTTTCGCTCCATTTGCTATTGTTGAATGCGTCAAGTCTCTGCTTCGGCTTTCTTCATGTGGGAGATTCATCTTTTCATCTATGGCATCTATCTTCAAATCTTTACTTTTAGCAATGATGCCTTCATATCCTTCTTTTTTCAATATATTAGAAGCAATAAAAGCCAATATAATTCCAGGGAAGATCATCCACTTTTCCTTTGCCTATTCAGTTTTAAATTGTGCACATTAAAACAAGATAAAGAGGAGGGAAATAGAAAGTTCAGTAATAGAAGTTTGATTTCTATAGCAGTAAGGTACCGTGACAAATCCAGATCTCAAGTCCAGTAAAGCTACTGCTTTGCCATAAGGATCTGCTGTGGAGAATTCGACTGCTGTCAAAAAGTCCATTTCATTTCCCTGTTTCCCGTAATATCTTGTTTCGTAGTCAAGCTTTCTTGCGGGGAAAACTTTCACCTGTTGAAAAACATATAAATGTGTGTATATAATAATTTTCACGATGGTGATCAATTTGAAACTTTTGTCATTTTTCTCATTTCTCATACATTCATCCTTAACAATCTAATCTGCTGTTAGATACCGATGATACTTAACTAATGCAAGTGCATTTTATTGCATCTAAATAATCTAGAAAACAAACAAAGAAAAGTTATTTCATAGTTAATTTCCTTGGTAAATATCAAATTCATCAGCCCCCTCCCCCCCCCCCCAAAAAAAAAAAAAAACTGAGTGGTAATTGAACTATGTTAACATAAACTAGTCATGCCCAATGCTTAACGGACAATGCCAGCTCAGCAGTGCCGCCGGTCTATAGCCATTCCTCACCATCTGGGCACATTTAACAACACAAAAGTGATTGGTGTATCAATGCCCTTTTCCTTTTCGCCAGTCACTACCTTAATGACAAAACTAAATCAAGATGTCACGTCATATATGAAATATAAGCAGAAGAGTGCCAACGCAAGTGGCACCAAGCTTTCGATCCCACTCACTTCCAAGTTGTTCAATTTGCCCCTTTGTACTTTAAAAAAAAAAAAAAACAGCAGAAGAGCTAGCTGTAAATCAGGTGCACTGTGATAAACATCCCATGGAGATGCAAACAATCACTTTTTTTATTAAACATGCATACCATTCTTGTGCCAGTAACTACAAAGAGATGGCCATCATCTCTGCACTTGTTCGGAAGGTGAAAGAACCAAAAATTGTCCATCACTGACCACCCATTCCCCACAAACTCTGCAAGAGTTCGTGTTTCGCCAGACTTCATAAGGCCAATAACCTCCTTCCCGGATATCCAAGTATCCCTTGCCTTCTTCAAATCCCTGAAATGCAATTAGAGAGAGAAAAGATCTAGAATTCATAATATTGCCTAAATCTTGTTCAAAATATAGAACACAGACTAAGGACTCACAATGTTTATATGACATACAGGGCATCACTCAATGTGGATAGACTGTTCCTTGACTAAACCAGTTTCACATCTCCCATGGAACAGCTTGGATTAAGCAGAAGATTCAGTTCATGAAGTTAAATAAAAATATTGGAGTTCTATTTTTCTCATTTCTATTGTAAGTCTCCAAAATTTAAGAGGATTGTCTTATTTTGGCAACACAACTATAATTCAATAAATGTGATTGAACCCTGAAAATGCCCAGAAAAGAAAGAAAGAAAGAAAGAAATAATAAATGAATGAATTATATCAATAATGTGAGGCACTGACATCTACGTCTAGAGAAGAACAGCTACAGTAGCAGAAAACAATGGCTCTTGATTATACATATACAAGTTTTTCAAAATTATAAACTACATGGGTATCTGGGAGTTCCAGGCCAGAAAATGCTTGATAGTCTTGGGAGGTTATTCACAATTAAAACACATTGATATTTCCAGGAAAAAATCAGACTTCAAAATAAGTTACATCTGATGTGCAGATATTGGCAGATATTTTCTAAACTAGTATCTACCTCAAAGTACATAGAATGTACCTCATTTGAAGGCTGATGACTATTGTTCCAGTTTCATCTGTCACATGAGTCCAGCTCTTGGAATGCTGCTTAACAGGAAAGTTGAAGAAACAAGAATTTTTGGAAAATGGACGAGATTGAATCATTTCAAGTGAATATGGAGCAGGAGCTGGGGGAGTAAATGAGATGGCTACGCGCAACAAGATTGGCTCTGAGCTCATGGTACCAGAATCAGTCATCAATGCCAACCATTTTTCAGTGGAGAGTTTTGAAACTGGATCAAAATAGTCCTGCATAGACAAAGAAGCAGAACCCAGTGTCTTTGATGATCTTCTAGAGAAATTGGAAGAAGAATGTGACATGAGTTCAAAGTGCAGCTCTCCTGTAGGTTCACACTGGAAAGATGCAACCTGTTTCTCTCCAGCCTCTGACAAAATACTCAGTTTCCTTTTAGCATCAAAGAATATATCTGGCTGTGATTTGGAAAATGCAACAGTGAGACTTCCTTTCTGTTCCTCTGGTATGTTCTTAACCCCAACAAACTCCAAGAGAACCTGGAAATGGATTCAGGAAGAAAATAAAAATCCAGCATAGTCATTTAGTTCATAGTGCATAGGCAATTATACATCGAGAAGAGCATCATATGACAAGACTAGATAGAGTGGTACCATTATTCTTGAAATTTATAACAAATGTAACTGCTCTATTTATCATTCACAAGTGACTACTTTTTAAATTCTGAATCAAATTTTCCATAATATTCAGAGCAATTATGGTTATATCCTTGTGATGATAACAAGTTTTCCATGCTGCCAAACTATTTAAAGGTCTCTCTTAAAGGTTGAATGGCCCTAGTATGGATTTGATGACAGCACACTTTAACAATTTTCTCCTGATATATGGTAGTGATCTATATAGTTATATGCCTCAAAGTATGTGACATGGGCTCTTATATGTACGTTAAGGGAACTTATTATTCAAAGGTAGAGCTCATAACACATAACATATAGTATAGAGGAGGAGAACAAGAAGTACCTCCACAACTTTCCTTTCTTGAAGTTGAATTTCCAGAGGATGGTGGCTGGAAGAAAGAACCTTCTCACACATCATGTTAGATAAAGGGTTACTTGTCACAGGAGATGGTGCATTACCTCTATACATTGCCCCAGCTTTCCAATATCTTTTACCAAATGTCTCTTCCCACTGATTGGTGGTTTCAGAAAAACCAACATCTAACTTCTTTCCTTTTGCTCTATCAGGGTCCATGTCATCATGTTCCAATACTTTTCCAAGTGCTGCTTTGAGGTCTTTACAATAAGAAACTGGGCATAACTGGTGAGAGTGCCATATTAGGTCAATGTCGTATGTAGGAACACAGAACTGTTTTATACCATTCTCCTTGTTTCTTTTGATTAGATACAGAAAGCCTTTATATCGGGCCACAGCTTCCTTGATAAAGACATCACTGTTCATGTGGGGTCTTGATACCTTTGACATGAAGGAATAGAGGTATAAATTCCACTATGAAGGTATAGAACCATGCAACTCCCCCCCCCTTTCTAAAAAAAGGTCAATGCTTAAAGGAAAATCAACCATTTATCATCATGTGTTATATTGTTAATGAAGCCTTGGGAGCAGTCATAAAACTAAGTTCCTAACTTAAAAATAAAAAATAAAAAAAAAAGTCTCAGAACTTGATTCTTTTCAAACAAAAGTTTCTTTTGAAAATCACAAAAAGCTATTTGATGAAATAATTAATCCTCAATTAGTTGAAAATGAAGGAGTCCGATTGAGTAGAAACATTCATATCTAGATTTTGGCGAAAGAGGCAGAGGTTATTTAAAATTTGTGCCAGTACATCAGGATAACCAAAAAGCTATTTGATGAGATAGGTAATCCTCAATCATTGGATGTGCTAAGTGAAACAGGAAAAAAAATTAATTATCCATTACCTGGTAGAAGAATGGACTCTGCCTCTTAGCAGCAGAAACCAGATCATATTTGGTGTATTTCACAAGTCTTATGGTATTAGCCTCTGATGAAATATTCACTAAATCAGCATGATAGGGCTCATCAGGATACATTTTATTCCAAATCTCTTCAGTTTGCCTCCCACAAATTCCTTGAACAGTTGACACAACATCAGAGCTGTCAAAGATTCGTCCATAAAGTTCCTCGCAGTCAGATTTGTACCTCACCTGTGGCATAGAACCATGCCCATGCTTAGCAACTAAACTCATTAAACAAACAGAAATTGAAAAATCCATTCTCAATGAAGCAAACCGGATTAAGTCTGTGACAATGCCAAACCCATTCGCAATCCAGAGGAACAACCAAACGCCCTTCAAAAAGCCGAGACTCTGAATGTTTGGCAAGCAACGGAAGCCAACAAGCATTATACCTAAACATGCATTGTCATTATAAATTCAGAAAAAGAAATTAAAAGATTGAACTTCTATAATATATACAAGAGCAACCTACTTCACAATAACTACATGGCAAAGCTCTCAGAAAGAAGTGCAAAAATTAGAGAAATTCATCACTGGGAGGGGTAAAGTCAGAACAAAATGCATCAGTAGACACTTCAGAGATACCTTCAGACATGAAGAAACTAAACATGGCTAATAGAAAGATGAGTTTGGGTTTCTGTTGCCACAATTTTTTTTGGCATTTAAGTTAACAGAAGTAACAAATCCCATATTGTACACAAGCATGCGTTTTATTTAGATAATTAGACTCAAGTAGATAATTTTAGTTTTCTATTCCCATCCATAAGAAGAAACACCAGAAACGTCCAGTGCGATTGATTCATGAAATCTACTGATAGAGACCAAATTAAAGACCTGCTTAATTTAAATACTTTTAAGTAGAGAATTTGTGTCATGATTGAACCTTAAAATTCAAAATAGAGTGATTCATTCGTATTGGAATTGAGCAGTGTTTACTATGGGTGAAAATGATATATAGAACTAGATTGTGCGTCTCTTGCATAGCTGATTCATTACATATAAATGATGCGACTTTTTATAGTTTTTTATATTATATATAGATATATAGATTAGATGCATAAGACAGAGGTTAGCTCCCTGAATCTAAATTCAGAAATCATAAGCAGAAACTAATAGCCAGAAACCATAAGCAGAAAGTAAACAATTCAGAAATTGAGGGCAGCTCTCTTAATCTTCCAAACACTGAGCTCAGACAGAAAAGCAGAAATTCACAGTTTATGTTCAGATTCATGGAAGGGGAAATCCAAGCAACTAAGTTCTGTAAGTCAGTACTGATAATATAAGATGATTCCCAGAATGCTCACCTAGAGATAGCCCTTTCAAGAGCAGGACCTTCATAGAGGTGACGATTCCTGTCAACAGCTGCCAGGAACTGAAGCTGTTGTTTTGCCACAGCCACAAGGTCCACGCCCACTGCAATCTTTTGTGCTTCAATCCATTCAAACTCTTGCTGCGGTTCCACTTCCATCTCTCAATTTAACCTGACAACCAGCCATCTTTCAGAAACTTGGCGACGTAAAGTATCAGTCGCTTACAATTATAAACTTTCTTTCTTATTCAGTCAGAATATAAAATTACAATTCATCAGCATCAGCAATAAATGTAAAAGAAAAATCTTGTCAGCACCCATAAAATAAAGTCGAAACAGAGAAGTAAGTCTGTTAGATTTTAGTCAACAAGAGGAACGAAAGAAAATTAAGGACATGAAAGACCGAAAAAGAAGAACAAACAAGACGATCCTCCACTCTACGATAAGTCTATCACATTAACGATTCCATAAACAAGAAGACGCTGTAGAGAATGGGGATTACCGAATTGCAGGGAGTAGGGAATGAGGAAGAACCTGAATTTGATAAGGTATTTATATAGGGAGGACCGGTAAATCGGGAATAGAGGCAACAATGCACGTCAAACTATGAAAAGTACAACGTACCAATTTCGCAACTCAAATGTAGTACAAAACCCGCAGCGCACCATGGAGGCTGAGCTGATGAATCGTCATGGAATTTAAGTGAAACTGGTTCATCTGGCGTATGTATCGTTTGCGGATTTTCTGGAATTTTGGTATCATTGAAGTTCTACACGACTCAAATTTTCCTATTTTACCTTCCATAACCCAGTTTGAATGGAAATTGAAAAATATACTCCCTTTATTTTAAATTATAAGATATTTTTTTAAAAAAATTCATCTCAAAATATAAACACTTTAAATATATTAAAATTTTATTAAATGTATCAATTTTAATTTTATCCTTTCTTTCTTTATAATTAATTCTTATCCCTTCTCTTTTCAATATATTAAATGATGGGTATTTTTAAAAGTTTATATTTTTATTTTAGAAAGATAAGGTTGTTAAATATATTTAATGAGATGTAGTGATATGTGAGATTTTATCTAAAAATTTTTTATAATTTAAGACGAAGGGAGTAATAAAAAGAAGATATATACAATAAAATTTGTATAGCATTATTTAATATGACTGAGACATGACTAAATTAAAAGTTGAATTAAGTAAAATCTATTTCATAATTTTTCATAATTGTGTAGTGGAAAATACGCCCAGTCACCCACATCCACTACTTAATTAAGATGCAGTGGCAAAGAAAAACCCCTTATATCCTAATAGTCTTCCGCTATAGATATTAAGCCCAATGCAAATGTTCTCTAAAACTATTTATATTTTATTAGGTTAAAGCAAAGTTCTTAGATAATGGCAAGCATGGCTACATCAAAGATTTTCTCTCTACTACCCGCGCACCCTCCTTCTAGGGAGGAAGATGATCAGGTTTCATATTGTTCAAAGAAGATTAAAAATAGAACAGGGTCGATTGTTGGTGGTATCTTAGGAGGACCTTGGCCAATTCTTGGGTCTAAATAAGATGATGTCAGCAAAGCAAAATTATCTTTCACTAATAAGTTGAAAGGCATTACAAGGGAAGGGGAATAGGAAGAGGATGATAGTGAGACTGCTAAAGAAGGTGATTTTGAGGATGATGAGATGGTTAATTCCCAGAATATTGGTGAACAGAGTATCGAGCCAGATTTCGAAACTATTGAGAACTAGTCAAGGTCGAACTTTCTAACCTTTATTTTCTCAGCCAAGGCTAGAAAAGACTGTATAAGGCCTGGAAGCATATGGTCGTCATGAAGCTATTAGATAGACACATTGGTTTCAAAGCTCTTAAGTCACACCTTCAATCTTTGTGGGCTAAAAAGGGAGTTATAAGACTAATTGATATTGGTCATGGGTACTATGTGGTAAAATTCTCTAACATGGAGGATTATCTGTGGGCTCTAACTGGAGGGCCTTGGATGATCTATGATCATTATCTAACTGTGAGACTATGAGAATTGAGGTTTAAAGCTCAGATGCAACCATTGATAAGGTGGCCGTTTAGGTTAGACTGCCCAAGGTTTTCTTAGAGTACTATGATGAGACTGCTCTAACAATGATTGGGAACAAAATTAGAACAACAATGAAGGTAGATATCAACACATCATGCCAGCTAAGAGGTCATTACGCGTGACTCTGTGTTCTTATGGATTTAGGGAAACAATTGATGTCTGGCTTCTCCCTTGATGGTGAGGATTATTATCGGGAGTATGAAGGCCTTCATTTGTTATGTTCTAACTATGGTATTTATGGTCATCATACTGATAAATGTCTAGCGAATAATCATACCAATTTGTACAAAGAAGTAGAGGAAAGCACGGTTGATCTTTAGGGTCATAAGAGTATTAGTAGGGATGGAGCTGGACCTTCACCAGTGGTGAAGGACTAATGGAATGTGGTGAAAAAACCGAGAAGGAAACGAAAGTCACTAGAGAAGAAAGCTGGAATGGTGAAGCAGAATGGTTCACTATTTGACGTTCTTGCTGAAGTGGAGGGAGAGGAGAGAGAGGAGGATCATGTTGTGTATTGTGAGGGAATAGAGATTGACTTGCAGAAGGATATTATTGTGTGAGAACATCATCAACTATAACAGATGAAGACAAAAAAATTATGAGTGGCAATTTGCAGAAAGTTGTGAGGGAAGATGTGCAAGCCGAGGAATAACGGGTACAGCAGGAGACAAGAAAAGACGTGGTTCAAAAGAGGAGAGTGGAAAAGCAGAAGAGGGAAATGATGAGGGGCATAAAGGGACAAAGAAATGTGCTCAAGCTAATAATGGGAAAAGGTCATGATTATGCTATAGAGGATAATCTGCTTGGGGACCACATTAACGTGGTTCATGATATGGAGGTGATTCCTAGCTTTTAGGATAACCTGAAGGATAAGTTAATGGAAGAGGTGGATCCAAGGGGTTTAACTTACAGGCCTAGCTTGGAGAGCCCAATCCAAGTACAAAATCACAAGAGTATGGATTTATGTGAGTCATATGTTCATGAAACCCAATTTTAATGGGTTTTAGTTTGTTTACTTTAGGTTCGTTATTATTGGGTTATTGTCTATGAATAAATTAGTTTTTTTAGAATTGTAGGGGGCTTGTGGTAATGGGCTTATCCAAAATCTTCGATTGTTGAATAGTGGGTCTAAGCCTAATTTTTTATTCCTCTATGAAACTCAATGCAGTGATCCTTCTCGTCTTCAAAACATTAAGGTATTGGGTTTCAATAGTTTTAAGGGTGTGTCTAGTATTGGGCTCTCAGGAGGATTATTGGTGGCTTAGAAAAGTAATGAGGTTAATATCACTGTTCTTAAGGAAAATTAGCTATATGTTCACCTTAGTTACTATGCTCACAGTTCTTCTCCGATGTTAGTAATTGTAGTATATGCAATTCCTCATTCAAATATGTGAAGGGGTTCTTTGGCATAGATTGACACTTATGTCGATGAAAATCAACATTCCTTGGGTAGTGTGTGGCAACTTTAATGACGTGGTCTCCACGAATAAAAGGATTAGAGGTTCTTGGGGGAGCTTAGTTGGACTCAGATGGTTTAGGGACCAAATTGAAGGATGTGGTTTGACAAATCTAGGGTCGACAGGGCCAAATTTTACATAGAAAAGACCTTTAATTAGTGGGTATCGACGTTTATATAAGCGTCTTGATTGAGCTTTGGAGAACAAACATTTTCTCTCAGTATTTCCAGATTGCAACTTGAAAGTGTTTCTTGGTATGAAGTTTTTTTATCATAATCTATTGTTGTTGATTCCTTTTAAGGGTAATAATATGTATTTTGGTTCCAAGCCTTTTCATTTTGAGGCAATATGGTTAATGCATGAGAGATTTCAGTCTTTTTTTGAAACTCAATTGGCCTTCGTCTGGTACTTTGGATCAATCTTTAGATAATTTTAAATATGTGGTCTCTGATTGGAATAAGGAGGTTTTTAGCTATGTAAAATAAAGGAAAAGGAATATTCTGGCAAGGTTGAATGGTATTAAATGTTCAAAAGCATTTACTTACTCTAAATTTCTTCAAGATTTGGAATTTAGTCTTCAGTTAGAGATAGAGGAGATACTTAGTTTTAAAGAAGCTAAATGGTTTCAAAAGTCTAGAGCAGAATGGATAACTCAAGGTGACAGGAATACAAGATACTATCATTTAAAAACTTCTATGTGAAGGCAAAGGAATCATACAATAAGTTTATAGAATAGAAGAGAATAGATAGAATAGGAAGAAGAGTTACAGAAAATGATAGTGGAGTTTTTTAAAAGGCTTTAGACTGTTGGGAATGAGGTCAGTAGTTTATTAACCACTAGGACTAATTTTCCTGAAGTTAGTTCAACTCTCAGGAGTGATCTTGTAAGGGTACCTTCTATTGAGGAAATTTACTCTGCTTTCTTTGCTATCGAGCCTTACAAAGCTCCTGGTGTAAATGGATTTTGTCTAATCTTTTTTCAAGCAAATTGGGACATTTTAGGGCCCTCTTTATGTGAATTTGTGCAAGATGTTTTTAAAGGTACAGTTGCACTTATTGAAGCGAATAGAACTTTAATTTCTCTTATTCCTAAAAGAGATAACCCAGAGGTCGTTAGTCACTTTTGACCATTTCTCTTTATTCTGTGCACTATAAGTGTATTGTGAAAGTCATTAGTAAGAGGATGAGGAGTTTGATAGATGCACTGATCTCTCTATTTTAAGCAAGTTTCATTTCAGGGAGGCAAATACATGATAATATTATAATTAGTCAAGAAATCATGCATTTAATGAATAAGGCTAGATTTTATGGCTTTAAAAATTGATCTTGAGAAGGCCTATGACAGTATTAAATGGGGTTTTCTTCAACAAGTTCTCTGTGATGCTGGTTTTCCACCTACTTTTGTTAGTTTGGTGATGAATTGTATTACCATTGTATCTTACAATGTCTTATGGAATGGAATTCAGACTGAATACTTCACTTCACAATGGGGTTTGCATCAAGGTGACCCAATCTCTCCATATTTATTCATTTTATGCATGGATCAGTTATCGCATATAATTTGTGATGTAGTTAATAACGATAACTGGGAACCTTTTCATGTCACTAATCATGGACATTTAATATCTTATCTAATGTTTGCTAATGACTTGCTTCTTTTTGGAGAGCTTCTTATGAGCAGGCGAAAGTTATTCTTAATTGATTGAATAAATTTTGTGCATCATCAGGGGCTAAAGTTAATAGGGAAAAATTATCAGCTTTCTTCTCGAAGAATGTACCCGCTGTAGTGAGAGGAAGAATTAAATCTATTTTAGGCATGAAAATATCTGACAACCTAGGTTGCTGTCTGGGTTTCCCATTGTCTAGAAAACAAAATTTAATTGTTTGTTTTAGATATCTTGTGGAAAGAGTTAATTCTAAACTTGCAAATTGAAGAACAAATTGTTTGACTGTTGCTGGTCGAGTGACTCTTATGAAGTCTGTGATAAGTTTGATTCCTTTGTATCCTATACATGTTAAAATTTTGACTTCAATTTGCAGTGAAATTGAGAGGATACAGAGGAATTTTATTTAGGAAAGGAGTGGTGGTCGAAGTGTTTTCATTCACTTTGTTGGGACAGAATTACCTAACTGAAGCAATGCAGTGGCTTGGGTATTAAGAGGTTGTCTTCAATGAATGATGCT